AAGCAGTTAAAGTACTATACAAAACAGTTTATCTTCCTTTAATGTAAATTTTTAAAAAAAATATGTTAGTTTTTATGGTATAATATAGGATAAAAATTGTAGAAACAATATATTATTAGACTGTAAAGAAAACCATATTAGTACTATAATTCTTATTTTTTCTAATTTGATTGAATAGTATGATAAAAATATCTTCATAGGAAATTCAGATTCTTCACATTATAATCATTATAGTCAGTAATAGATTTCATTCTTTTTTATGCCATGTATTTGGGGTTTTTTTTACTACAGATTATTTATGCTGTAGTATAAATATGATATATATTTTTGTTATTTAATAAATGACAAGTAACTTACTTGAGAAAAAGGCCTGAAAATATGTATATCTATGTTAATATTCAAATACATTTAGAGTTTATCATGATTACATATGTGATTCGTATATCTTCATGTATAAAATTTCATTGGAATTTATTATTTTAACAATTCTGGCTCTTTTGAAATTTTTTCTTTAATTTAAAGAATTTTATATTAAGATATGGGAGCCCAAAGTTCTAGTTCTTGCTCAGCTACTACTTAGCTTTTTGGCTTTGAAAAGTCACTTAAAGAAACTGAGCATTAATTTCTTCATCTGTGAAATGAGAAAGTTGGACTAGATAATCTCTTAATTTCTTCCAATTGTTTGATTGTAGAAATGCATTAATTATAGACCAAAATGGTGTAAAAATGTTTAATTTTTGAATTGCTCCTATTTTATATTCCAACCCTTAATGAGTAATTAGAACAATACAACTATTATTGATAAGATACTAGTTAGAACTAGAGCTATGTAAAGAGATTTCTTTTAACTCAGCTAATGTGTCATGTAAATACTATGCTTTATTAGAATGTTTAGGTGATAAGTTTAGAGCAGCTGTGAAAGGACATAAACTATCAGTCTGTAGAAAAAACATCAGGTTGCAAGCTAGATGTCACCAAAATCAAGGCAGGAAAGGCTTTCCAGTGTTCTTCGATGATGAAATCCAGGCCAGAGTTTCCCTAAGGCAAATAAGACAGAGGCAGATCTATCTTCAGGTATGAGGTGAGGAGGAGAACAGGTGGGATACAGTTGAGTGTAAGGAGAACATATATATGTGTATATGTATACTAATTTTTATGAAAGTGACAGTTTAACACCTATAAGTATTTTGTGCAAACTTTTCCAAATTATATTTTGAAATTTAAGCTGCCCAATTCTCCTCTTAAAACTCTACAGCATGGTTTCTCAACCTCGACACTGTTGACATTTTGGACCAAATAATTCTTTGTCGTTAGAGTGTCCTGTGCATTGTAAACTGCATAGTAGCATCCCTGGCCTTTATTTGATAGATGCCAGTAGCACTACCTTCTCTTTCCCCAAGTTGTGACAACCAAAAGTATCTCCATATACTGTCAAATGTCTCCTTGGGGGACAGATTTCCCCTGGTTGAGAACCATTGTTCTACAGTGTAGCACTCTTCTTTTCCAGGTAGCACCTTAGATAAAACTATGCTTGGTTGAAAAGCCATCTATCTAACCATAGCTGATAACCTGTATAGGTGCTATCAGCAAAGACTCTTTTTTATGTGTCTGTAAAAGATACTGGATACAATGTTGACATGTAGAGCCTTCAGTACTATTGGAGCCCGTGAATATTGCCAAGGACACACATAGCCTTCTCTTCGGGAAATTAATCTATTCCTTCCCATGTATGAGGACATTCATTACAGTCTATCTCCTTTACCTAGACCCTCTTCCAGTCCCCATTCCCAACCCCACAACATAATCTGGGTTCTTGCTAAAGATTTATATCAATTTATGTCTTAACATATGAGTTGGAGAATTGGGCAGAGTATTTCCCAAATAACATCTCTAAATGACTCAATTCTACCCTGGGTTGCAAGTGCATTTGTTGTTGAATGTGTGCATGATTGGGGGAAAGTATTTGGTTTAACAAATTGTGCATAATCCCACTGCTTGCGCTTGTGGAACTTAAGTAAAAGGGATAAATGTACTAAAAATAAGTTATGTGGTAATAATATAGGTGAAAATGTGTGTTTGGGTATCTGTTGCTTTACCAATCTGGTGTATTAAGAAAAGTAATCAAAGTACTCTTAGAGTCAAAGCAATGACTTTGTAAAATTCTTAATTTATCCTCTAAAATTGAGAAATTTACATGAACTTTTTTGAGCGTTAGAACCTCTAGAAATATTGAACTTAATAAAAC